AGGATAAGGAACTACAATACTACTTGAGAGTATTATATAACTGGGTAGAATAATGTACATAGTAGAATGTAGATGAAATAACTATTGTGGATGTATTCATAAAGAGGCCAGTAATCTAATCACTAAAATTCAACAACTTTGAAGCACAAGAGCCCAATGTGCATATATTGGGAAAACTTTCATAGGTATAGTAGTATGGGCATAATCCTTTCCTATGTAGTGGATCCTCTAGCATGAAGGTGCTGCACACAAAGCCTGGTATAGTTGAAACTGAGGAACTAGTTGGAACTAGAGCTTGTTCCTGGACTCATGATGTACTTTATAGGTATTTGGAGAGCTTTCGGAAGTCACACGTACTATGGGAGACAACCCTTTTCCTCACTATGGGGTGGCAATGGGGCCATGCCTCAGTGGTCGGGCAACAACTTGGCGTGCAGAAGGTTCCAGGTTGAATCCCCGGATTCTCTAGTTTAAGGGACATTGGTAGTAAGTGATATGAATGACCTCTTCCTGAGATCCTGGAAAGCCACTCCTGGTCCGAGTAGACAATACTGAGGTCCATGTGTCTTGGTTAATTACAGCTACATTTGGCAGACCTCTGAGGAGAGATCCCCCTAGGTTTAACAGACCTTGTTTGTTCATTATCTCTCTCACACACCCCACCCCACAGTTCACATGCAGACAAAGCAACTGGAAGTTCTGTCTCAGTTGAGGAGCAGCTAGGGATGTGAGAGGTACAGACAAACTTCCATTCCCCAGCCTACTGTAAGCATGAGTATGCACAGTGTGAAATTAAAGGGGAGAAAACAGGTACCCTTCTGTACATGCTGAAAGATTTATTTATTAAGACAGAACTAAGACTTGCAAAAAACTATCTGCACAAACTACAAGCAGATTACCACAGATGGCAGCAGAGTATGACTTCCTTGCCTCTCCCTTCCCCTTGCAACTTGAAATGCCTCTTGAAATGATGCTGGGGAGCCAGGGCCATCCAGGAACAGCATGAAGGGGGAATACTGGAGGTTGGGAACAAGAAGGGAGAACTGGTGAAAATTGCCTCCCTCTCTGCCCAGATGGGATCTCACCCATTATGCCCTCCATTCTATACTGAGAAAAGTAAAATGAAGGCTGGTCTGTGAAACCCGCAGACTAAAAATGGAAATTAGGCAACTTTTCCATGTCTGCAGCATATGCATTTAACTTCGGCTGCAGTCGCACACACTAAATAATCCACATTCAATTCACTTTCAGTGCACTTTCCAACTAGATTTTACAGTGTGAACTGGCAAAATCCAGTTGGAAAGTGCATTCATAGTGGATTATTTAGTGTGTGTGACCACAGCCTTTGGAATGAAGTAAGAAATAAGATAAACATGATATAGATGTAGTTTGCTTCCAGCAGTATTTATTTGTAAAATAAGCTTGTAGATATACAGTACAATCCTTTACTAAACTCTAGTACATTGAGTTCCCAAGAGCTAAGACTGGAAAAACTATGCATAGGATTGCACTAATTGTTTATAGTACAAAGGAATCTTGGCAAGCAGTGTTGCTTCAGCTTTGGGAATATTCTTCTTAACAGTAAGTACAAACACCAGTTTTGGAAAGGGTATGATATTAATAGTCCCTTGTCTCTCTCTCTCTAGGGATGAAATTTAAAAGATTTAAATCACTTGTAAAGGATCTCTTGGAAAGCCTGTGAACTGTGCTTGGAACAGGCATTTATATGCTACATATATAAAATACATAAAATGAACCTCTTTTGTACCCCCTTGATACTATCACAAACACAGTTTTGGATAATGAGGAGAGAAAGCTGAACAATTGACACAGTATCTTTAATCCCATGAACTGTTGGAGCTGAGACAAAACATTTAAGTAAGTTAAAGAATAACAGTTAACATTGGTCCAGCTGTCCTTTTTTGTAGGTTATAAAAATCCTGTATATAGAAGTAGAAGGAAACATGCATGCAGACCCATCTTAAATTAAATGCACCTTATTTGTTCAGCTGCTACTTGGGAAATGTTCCCATGTGATAATCTATTACTGAAAATAATATACTGGTACATGGATTTGTAACAGCTTAGTGAATAAAACATTAAACCTAGCTCTTACTTTTTTCCTTTAGTCATTGGGGGGGGGAGAGTGTTGTTCTGAAGCAAACCAAGTTCTCTCTAGTCTGACATTTTATTTCTACAGATGTCCACCTAGATTCCATTTAGGAGATCAGAAGGATACAGTATTGCTAGCTTTCCCTTTTGGTGCTGAGATACTATACATACAGGTTTAATTTTGCTGGTCTGACTACATAGCTAATACTACCACTATATAGAGGTATATGGTACACATTTTATTTACTTTATTTATATCCTGCCCAAAGTAGTTTACACCGTTCTCTTCTTTTTTATCCTTACAACAACCTTGTGGGTAGGTTAGACTGAGAGTGTGTGACTGGCCCAAGGTCACCCAGCAAGCTTCCATGGCAGAGTAGGGATCTGAACCTGGGCCTTCCAGATCCTAGTCTAACACCTCAATCACTATACCATGCTGGCTCAGAATCTTATGCTTTGTAATCCTGACAAGAGTTTAGCATGTTATGTAGTATCAGCCCAAGGCAGGGGTGTCGAACTCATTTGTTATGAGGGCTGGATCTGACAAATGAGACTTTGTTGGTCCAGGCCATGCGTGTCATAAAATGTAATGCCAGGTAGCGGAGATATAAACTTTATAAAGGACACAAACACAAATGGGTTTTTTTAAACTTAAAATAAAAACATGCTCAAAACATTAGCATTCTTGCAACATTTTGTTTATTTAACAGTGTCTGATAACTGACACCTCTGAATTATTGCATCAAAATGTCTATGCTGTTGCAGTCTTGAGTATGCTATTCAGGTGTGTATCTGTAAGCTGCAAACCTATGATGACGCACCAGCAGCAGAACTGGAAGAAGAAGCAGAAGACAGCCAGTTCCACTGCGGGCCTGATAGAAGCCCTTCGGGGGGCCTCATCTGGCCCCCGGGCCGCATGTTTAACACCCCTGGTCTAAGGTGTAGTTTACACATGGCAGAGGAGGTGACAAAATGGAATGTATCACTATGGATGACAGCTTTGCTTTAAAAAATATCCAACAAAAACTAGCACAAAGCTCCCTCATCCCCTCCTTTTTTGCTGGCCTGGTTTTCTCATTTGCAGGAAAACATAACATAGGTGAGCATTGCATAACCTCAGCATTCTGCCTCCTTACTCCTTCCTATCTGATGAAGGGACCTTTGATTCTGGAAAGCTTGCTAGGGTTGCCAGCTCTGGGTTGGAAAATACCTGGTGATTTGGGGGGTGGAGCCTGGGCACAGTTTGGGGAGGGGAGCAAGGTGCTACATCATAGTACCCAGTAACCTATCTAGGGCCACAATGTAGGGGGGGGACAACCTACCAGCACCCTTTTTTTATCCGGCACAATCCTTTTTTCTTCAATCGACAGCTCCGTTGCTATTATTTTTCCAGCGACCCGGCAGACATCGACCAGACTCGAGCGAGTTGTTATTCTTTTATCCTCTTCTTTCGGAGCGGCGCATTTTTCCTCGAGCGCAGCCTCTGCCAACGTCCAAACGGCTCCTGCCGCGCCACGCCCCGCGTTCTAGCATCACTCCGGCTCCGATTCCGGCTCCGCCTTCAACTCCGCCTCTCTGCTCGATCCAATCGTCGCCGTCCTGGGTCGCCTCTGTCGGTTCTCCGCCGCCGCCATTTCTCTCTCTCTGCCACTGGTACTGCTGCCGATTCTCTGCATTGCCAATCACCATCCCAGCGCAAGGCCAGGAGGAGGGTGCCCCCTGCCACCTAGGGCAGGTACCCATTTCTCTGATGTTAATTAGAGCCGCTGGGTTGGCAACCGTTTTCTCCCGGGGAACTTAACTCTGTCGTCTGGAGATTAATTGTAATAGCAGGAGATCTCCAGACAACACCTGGAGGCTGGCAACTCTAGCTTGCACACTGAAAATCTTGTCGGTCTTTAAGGTGCTTCTGGATTCGAATCTTGCTCTTCTACTGCAAACTAGCACGGTGGATTAGTCACAAACTTATTCCTCCCTGCCCTCCTACCTTAAGCTTATGCAAGGGAAAGCAAGCCAAGTCACTCGCTCTAGTGAGGCTTGGGGTGCGGTCACACAGTCCTTTTGATGGGGGTTCGCCGCTGTTCCCTCCCGTATTTAAGTTTGCTGATCAGACAGGCAAATCTGCCTCCTGCGCCGAAGCGGGCTCACTCCTGGCATTTGCGCTTGGAATGCATGATTTCGCCCATCTGGACAGCCATCTTTCGCAATGATTGCGATTAGGGCCGTCTGACCGCTCTTTGGGTTTTTTGTTTTTTTTAAAAAAGCTTTCGGTTTGAGCGCTTGGGCAAACATGCGCTTAATAAAGCCATTATTAAATGTTATTTTTATGTTCATTTCTCTGTTTAAAGATAACAGCAGCCGCCCCATGACTGACAGGATCGCCTGGAGGGACTCAGTGTGGTGGAGGCTCCCTGCAGCAGCCCTCTTGGCTGGTCTTCCTTTTCCCGCCCCTCCGGGGCTGGTCGGGCAGGCGGCTTGCTGGAGCTGTCATATTATATTTAAACAGAGAAATGAACATAAAATAACGTTTAATAATGGATTTAGTAAGCATATGCTTGCTCAAGCGCTCAAACCGGAAGCTTTTTTAAAAATAAAAAAGAAACAGGGCGATTTTCCTTAGGAGCCCACAAGCGAGCGGGTGGTGGAAGAGAGGGGCCGGCTGCATGTAATCAGCCTAACCCAAAGAAAAATGTTCCCGATTAAATTAAAGCGGGAACAAAGTGGAAGGTGGAACTACCTTCCGGTGTGACCACAGCCTTGGAGAAGCAGGGCTCAGCCTCTTCCTTGTCGCTTACCTTCTCCGTCACGAAGGCAGAGCTGGCGGGGTTGGTCCAGGGGGCAGGGTGTCACGGAGGCGCCAAGTCTTGGCAGGGCAGGCGGGGGAAGGTTGTAGGGCATGCTGCTCTTGCTGCAGCCGGAGCGGCGCTGGAGGCTTCTGTCCCTCGTGGCTGCCTGGGGGGCGCACCGCGGCTCCCCGGCTGCTCTGACCCGCGCAGGCATGGCGGAGAAGCCGCTCTCCGAGCCCTCGATCGATCTAAGCGGCTCGCCTCCACCCGTGAAGCGGCGGCGGCGGCGGCTGGCGCAGGAGAAGGCGGCTGGCTTGCCGGAGGCGGGCGAGTCGAGATACGTGCCCCCTCCAAAGAAGCGGAATCTCGGTTTCACAGAGGCTCACTTCGCCGAAACCAGCTACTACTTCGAGGGAGGCCTGCGTAAGGTGTGGCCCTACTACTTCGACTTCCAGACCTACTGCAAGGGGCGCTGGGTGGGCAAGAGCCTCCTGGACGTCTTCAGCAACGAGTTCCGCTCCCAGCCCCTCGAGTACTACCGAGCTGCGGCCCGCGCCGGCCGTCTCCGCCTCAACGAGCAACCCGTGCGGGACCTCAGCGTCGTGCTCAAGGCGAGTTCAAACAGCTCATAGCCCGACCCTTCGGTTCACAGAAAATGCGACTCTCATCCGTGAAAACCAATTTTAAAAGATAGCATATATATATTTAAAAAGACCCAACTAACAGCAGAGTACCCTTCAAACCAGTAGAATGAAGAGGTGATTTACCTGTTCCTGGACTGTAGATTTCTGAGTGTGGTGTAGATGCCGCATGTCTCAATCCTTCCTTAACGAAGGTACAAAGACAGTGCGTGCAGAAAGCTAGCATGTCAGGAATACATTCACTTGATAATAGGATTTCCCCATCTTCTTCCAGGAAAATGCAGACTGGGTTGCGGGGTGGGACTGCAGATGCAGCAGCAACACTGGGGGATGCAAAATTTATTTTTTCTATTGGCCTTTTTAAAGTAAAAAAATTCAGTTCAGATTCTTCTTTTCCCCATATTTGCTGCTTTCCCAGCCAGGAATTGTGAGTGGTAGATGGGGAAGGGCTAATCTACTCTACTTATGGTTTTGCTTTTCTCACTGATGCTTCAAAGCAGATTTCAGGAATTAGGGAAACAATGAAATAAAGAAAGCACTATAAATATACTGTAAACAGTACAGCAACTGGATTACAATAGTCACAAATAATGCAGTACAAGTGAGATAATACAATAATCAAAGCAATAAACTAGGACCCTATTCCATCAGGAAAGCATCCCTCCTAGCCCAGTTCCCTTTGCTGCAGCCCTATTCCTTTTATAAAAATGCCTTCCTGAACACTTTCATTTAAAATTATTCTGGGGAAATAGAAGTGTGATAGCTTTCTTGACCCTTCTTCAGCAAGCCATTCCACTAAATGGCCGCAACAGAAACTGCTTGGGTATGGGCAGCCACTGATTTCACCCATTTGTGGGGTGGCACCTTTAGAAGACTTGGATCAGAGGAATGCAGTTGATGCAGTGGGGCATGTTGGGAGAGAACCCTGGTATCTAGTTTTCCATGCCAATAATCTTTTTCTCTCTGGGGATCAGACATATAATCCCACACTTGTGAAGTGACACAGTTGGGCACCAGTTTTACTACCCGGTCCCCCAGTTATAGAGAAATGGGATTCTAGGGGGTGAGCTGCAGTGGAAGGGGGAAGCAGGCAAGTCGTGTCCTGTGAACTTTGTGTCACTCACAGTAATTTGGATCCAACCAATGGAATGTAGGGGCAATGTAAGCTGCCATTTCCATGCCCCCCCCCCTTTTTATGGGGCTTGAGCTGACCACATGTTTGTACAAAGAGGTGGGGAAGGGCTGCAAATGATGAAATCTTTGTAAGGTTCAGGAGATGGGAAAGAGGCCTGAGTCTGATAGAGAAAGCTCCAAGGTTAAAATGAATGATGTGCCAAGGGGATCCACATAGGAAAGACAAAACCAGGATGATGGTGTTTTTGCTGAAGTTGTGTGCTTATGGTATGATCCATATTCTTAAAGGAGTAGGGTGAGCAGTGACAAAGTCTTACTTCTTGTACTTATTTTCCAAAATTTTCTTGTTTTTGTTAACACCCTGCTCTGTGTCTTCAAATGTTCTGGAATGCTAATATCCCCAAGTAAGAATTAGTTGAGTCCCCCTTGCTTGCCTATTTCATGTGATGTGAGAATAAAAATTGTCACAAGGATAAAAAGAAACTGCATTTCATACAAATGTAAATGGAATTTATGGCTTCCTCTATTATGGAAGCTTGCTGAGCAATCTTGGGCCTGTCACATATTCTCAGCCTGATCTACATCACAAGATTGTTGTGAGGATAAAATGGAGGAGAGAAGAACAAGGTAAACTGCTTTGGGTCCCCATGGGGGAAAAAGCAGGGTATAAATGGAGTGAATAAATGAATGAAAGGCGATAGCATCTGAAAGGGTTGTTTCCCCTCCTCTGAATTTTAAAGGTCTGGATGGCTTTTGAGTTCAGGCCTCTTTGAAAGCTTCTTCAGTGATTTGTTTTAGATCCAGGTATATAATTTCAGAGGTGAATATACAAGTTGGTTAACTCCTTCTCTTGACCATTCAGATCATAGACTTTTAGCTGACACAGGGTGATAGATATATTGATATTACACTAAATTTCCTTTCTGGTGTTTTTCCTAGCTTTCCTCTGTTTCCTCTGTTTAGTTTAACTTTCCTCTGTTTACTATGTGGAGTTAACCATAAATTCCACAAACAGGCTATTCCTGAAAATTCTCTGCTATTATGAATATAAATTGTATTGCTTACAGAATAATGACTTTCTGCGAAACACAGTGCATCGCCATGAACCCCCAGTCACAGCACAGCCAATTGAGTTTCTGGAAGAAAATGAGGAAGTTGTAGTTGTGGACAAGCCCTCATCCTTACCAGTCCATCCATGTGGCAGATTTCGGCATAACACTATCATCTTTATTTTGGGTAAAGAGCATAACCTGAAAGAGCTGCACACGATTCATCGGCTTGATCGCCTGACCTCAGGTGTCCTCATGTTTGCCAAATCTGCAGATGTGTCCAAGCGGATTGATGAGCAGGTTCGAGAACGACAGGTGAAGATCAAATGTTGTTTTTTCCTTCGATATGCTTGCTTGTTTTTCTTGTAATGGGCACAGTAAAAGTTACCCTCGAATATAAGGTTCAGATAGTTGAGGGAAGCCCAGCTGGGCTGCCGGCAAAGCTCTCAGTCCACTGGCCTCTCATGGAAGTGCTGATTGTGTGAATTTGTACCACTGCCTGGGGAACAAATGTGCAGTCAGTTCCATTTTTCAGATTTGCAGCCCCTTAAATAAGAGCTGCTCTTATTGTACAAATTGCTATGTTTGTACATCCCCCCTCCGCCTCACATGTGAGGCAACAACAGGCCTTCCTGGTTGGTTGCTGCATGAAACAGGAAACCAGATTAGATGGACCATTGGTCTGATACAGCACAGTTGCTTTTAGGTTGTTATGCTTTATGAAATTGGTGCTTCCCTGCAGTGTCAACAGTGTTTTAAACCTGCCAGCAGGCCCACCTCCATAAGTAAGCAGGAACAGGCTCCTGTCTCATCATCATTCTGTGTATGGCTAGCCTGGTGATATCATATATTTTTCACTTTCAGATTCTAAAACTTGATTAGAGGATGAGAAACTTGCTGGACTTTAAAAATTAAAATGGCACATTAACTTCCTTGCTGCTGTACTTTACAGCCCTGCAAATATTAGAAGATATGCATGAGTGTGTCTGAGGGGGAAAGAATGTGAAGTCAACTCGTAAGAACGGCACTGGAAAAGCACAATGCCTACATTTAGAATGTGGTTGGCTAGTATGCCTGCATTCATCTCCTTTATATTGGCTGTAAAAATTGAATGTCAAATGTCAGAATGCTAACAATTCCCATGGGATGGGATCCATTAATTATTGGTAGCTGATGGTGCAGACTGCTGCTAGAATGCCAAGGGGGAAAGGACAGTGACTTGGATGGAGTACAGGAATTCTGCTCCTTGGTCATTAGTTTACTTACAGCTGCTGTGACAGATAGTTCTCATTTGTTTTGGTCATTGCCTCAGCTGTAGGTAGACTGTAGTAGAGCTGGTGGCTTAAAGGAATGTCACCATTGCCTAATTAATTATGTATATTACAGCTATGTATGTTCTTTTTTCCAGCCTTTTCACTATGTTATCTAATTGGTGCTGCGTAGGGTTCATAGAATGAGCCTAGTTCTGATGGTAGTATTTGGTTTTTTGATATAATTTTACTATTATCAATTGGGTCCAGCAGAGGAGGGAATGTATCTTCCCCACCTCCATAGTCCTACTGCTGCCCAAAATACCCCCTTGAAATGCTGCTGCTGGGGAAAGGGAACCCCTCTCAGTAACAGCATGAAAGGGGAATTGGTGACCCCTCCCCTGCCAATATATGGAAATCCTCCACAGGATCCAAGCCATAGGGGTGCATGGATAGCCATCAAAGCTAGTAATGTGAAAATAAGTATTTATTTCAATTTAAAGTGTAATTTATACCATGAATGCCAACTGAATATACAAATATTCTTAGCCGTTAAATTGATTAGTGTTTTTCCCCCCTGTGGTGCTTCAAAAGCCAATCAGATACAGACCGCGGTGTTTTTGTTTACTTTCATGTTTAAGTTTTCAGTAGTGCGTAAATGGGATACAAGGTAGGTTTTCAGACAACAGGATAATTGCAGAGGGTAGCAATGTTTGTCTGTAGTAGAACAGCTAGATTAATCCAGTAGCACCCTAGAGACCGGCAAGAGTTTTCAGGGTATAAATTTTCGAGAGTCTCCCTTTGTCAGATATAAGTAGCCTAAGGAAACCAAGCAAGCAGTGCTGTAGGTAGTGGTACCCTAAAATACCCTAAAAGTTTATTGTTGCTGACACTTGTATCCTAGATCCTGAATTGATGTTGATTCTTGCTTTCTCTCTTTCTCCCCCCCCCCCAAAAAAAAAGCTGGAAAAGGAGTATGTGTGCCGTGTGCTTGGAGAGTTTCCAGAAGCTGAGGTGACCTGTGAAGAACCCATCCTGGTGGTTTCCTACAAAGTGGGGGTGTGTCGAGTGGACCCCAAGGGTAAAGCCTGCAAAACAGTCTTCCAGAGGCTCAGTTACAATGGGAAGACTAGTGTGGTGAAGTGTTTTCCGTACACTGGGCGTACCCACCAGATTCGCGTCCATCTGCAGTTTCTGGGACACCCTATCATCAATGACCCCATCTACAATGCAGGTGTCTGGGGACCTGCAAAAGGTAAAGGTGGCAATATTAACAAAACGGACGAAGAGCTGCTTCGGGCACTGGTGGAAGAACACATATCGAAAGAGAGTGGGGCTATATTGGACATTGCTGAGGAAGATCTTAAATCAATTGTAGGAGATAAAGAACATGGTAGTCCAGGGAACTGTGTGAAGCCTGCACAGTTCAGCCCTATAAGCACCAATTCTTGCAGAACTGAAGAATCAAAGAGTGAAAATGAAGGTGGAACATCAATGTGTACTCAGAATTCTGCCCTCCAGTTACAGGCTCATGAGTCAGAGAATGGAGAAACTTGCACAAGTGAGCACCAGGTTGAAAAGGATCATTTATGTAGAGAATGCAAGATAGTGAGGCCAGACCCGTCACCCAAAGATCTGGTGATGTATCTCCATGCCTTGCGCTACAAAGGAGCAGACTTTGAATACTGCTCCAAGATGCCTAAATGGGCACAGGACAACTGGGAAGAGACCTGAGATTATAATGTTTTGTTAAGACTTGAGTTTGTATGTGGCAAGAATGTTTCCCTCAAACGCTTGTTTTTATCATCCGGTAATCACTGGCTGTGTTGAATAGTGGAGGAGGAGGAGGAAGACCTTTTTTAATTTGTTTGTGGAAGCCACTGATAACAGTGAATGTCCTGCAAACTAGCTTTTGCAGTATGATTTATTTATTTATTTTGCAAAATTTATACCCCACCCTTCTGCCCTTGTAAGGGCCACAAAGGCAGCTAACAAACTAAAACATAATAAAATCACATCTTAAAACCATCAAAACCAACCAAAGGACATGTGATTAAAACAGATTAAAATCACAGTTAAAATGCATAGAAAAACAACTTTTGAAACATTGGGCAAAAAGGAGGGATCACTGAGGGAATGCCAAGCGAAATGGCTGGCAGATGCTAGCAACACAAGGGGTCAGACGAATTTTCCTGGTGAGAGAATTCCAGAGCTTTAGGACCACAGCCGAGAAGGCCCTCTCCCAGGCTGCCACCCGCCTCATCTCAGGAGGTGGGGACACCTGGAACAGAGCCTTGGAAGATGACTGCATTGGTCGGGTAGATTCATGAGGGAATAGGTGGTCCTTCAGGTTTTGCCTTGCATATTTTTACCTATATTCATTATTTACAAAATGCCTACAACTGGCATGTTATCTCTGTATATAAGAGCTAGTGGAATGTTAAAGTCTCTAATCATAGCTTGTGTCAACAGATTTCATATAATAATTTGGTACTTCATTGCTTTCTTTCTGTCTCAATCACCTGATGAACTTATCTCAGTTCTGTCCACCAGTGAGCACTTAGATTTACTCAGCCTAGGAAGAATTCCATCCTGTAGTTCACAGCCCGTCTTTTTATGAACTTGGTCTTTGGCCTTACTCCATGTGTATACTTAGCTTCAACAGTGTACAAAGCAGATGTCAAAACACAGAAGAAGCATAGTTTTGGCCCAAAAGATTTAGGATCTCATTCAGTTCAGAACTAATCAAACTGGACTGTTCAGAATCTAAATAGTCTCAGATCTACATTTCACTTGAAACCTTCAGTTTAATAAAATTAAACTTTGTTTTCTTACTTTGATTTACCTTGTAAATGAGTCCCCCCCATATTTATCCTGTTTTATACTGAATTTCATGGTTTTTGTTTTACGTTCTGCCATGTCCCATCCTTTCTGCCACCCATTGCTGTGTCTGAGTAGGACATCTAGTCCCTCACTTAAGCCACAGTCTCACTTAGGGATGACAAAGATGATAAGCTTTCTGTGTGCAAGGAAGATAATACTGCAGTGCTTACTTGATCACAGAATTAAATATGTGTGCTGCCTCTACTAGGGTTACTACGTTGCTGCCAAGAGGTGCAGCTTCCGACCTTCCATTGCAAAAGGAAATGGGGCAGCCTCAGCCAGCCCTGCCCACCTGTTCCCTTGGCAGTTGTATTATCCACTCTCCTCCCTTCCTTGCTCTGGGAAGCAGAGCATTAAATCAGGTGGGAGTAGATGACTGGAACAGATATGAGGGGCCATGGCTGCTTTGTCTCCCTCTGTATCAGAATGTGTAAAGGAGGTCAAGACTAGGATCTGGGAAACCCAGGTTTAAATCACTACTCTGCTGTGGAAGTTTGTTGGGTGACCTTGGGCCAGTCACAGTCTCAGCCTAAGCTAGTTTGCAGCATGGTTGTTGTGGGGATAAAATGGAGGAGGGGAGATCAGTGTTGTAGACTGCTTTGGGGCTCCATTGCAGAGAAGAGCACAGTAAAGGTGAAGTGTCGTCACATCACAACCAACTTAGGTAAACCCATGAAGTTCCACCTCATGGGATTTTCAATGCAAGAAATAAGCAGATGTGGGTTGACCTTGCCTTCCTCTGCATCGCAGCTTCAGTCTTCCTTGATGGTCTGCCATCCAAGTACTACTGTTCTGCTGCTTTGTTCTTGGATCACTGCACATTCTCATTCCAGTAGATTAATTGTACAAGAGAGCTCACTGAATGGTTGTAATGATAGTTAACCTGTGGAGCAGATTTGCCCGGTGGGAGCCTTTCACTGCCAGCTTCACTGCTTTCAAAATCTGTGTAATGATGGAGCCATCCTGGCCTCTTAGCAATCGTTTGTGGTTATTATTATATCTGAAGTCTTTTACGAAGAACTGAACCTGTTCCAATAATACACGTATCAGAATGTTTTCGTAATCATTTGGGCATGGTCTGTGTGCTTGAAAATGCCAGAAATATGGACCCAGCAAATGCAGTGGTGTGTTTCGTGCTCTTTACCTGAAACTTCTGAGTGACTCACAATACACTTACATAATTACCATGGAAAGTGGGAGGGGAATTATATTATTTTCCTGCAATAAACCACTGGGTTAGAACGGATAAGAGGAAGTACTTCTTCACCCAAAGAGTGATTAACACTTGGAATTCACTGCCACAGGAAGCGGTGGCGGCTAGAAGCATGGACGGCTTCAAAAGGCAATTAGATAAGCATATGGAGTAGAGGTCCATCAGTGGCTATTAGCCACAGGGTATAGATGGGGACTCTGGGGCAAGTGATGCTCTGTCATCTTGGTGCTTGGGGGGGTCAACAGTGGGAGGGCTTCTAATGTCCTGGCCCCACTGGTGGACCTCCTGATGGCACTGGTATTTCTGGCCACTGTGTGACACAGAGTGTTGGACTGCATGGGCCTTTGGCCTGATCCAACATTGGCATCTCATGTTCTTATGGGCTTTTTGGATTCTGAGGCAATGTCAAACACTGTCAATACAAGTAATAATTCCATATGAGCTTTCTGGATTCTGTAAAGCAAGAAGAAATACATTTTAAAATTTTCTGACAGAGAGACTTGCTGGTCATGAAATGGGATCCCTTAATGAACTGTGACTTAGTTAAACTGGAAACAATACATAGGCAATATTTTTCATAGTAAAAATGAAAAATAAATCCTCAGTAGATACAAGGTCCTATCCGTTCTGAGTAACTGGAAAGAGAATGGCATGTGATGTCTGGTGTTAACTGTTTAGAAGTACACACAAGCAAAACGTGGTCTGAATTTTATTTATATGTATTTATTTATATATTAGATTTATACCACACCCTCCCCGCCGAGGCAGGCTCAGGGCAGCTTACATAAAATATAATTTAAAACAGTTTAAAAACACATAAAATCTTAAGTGCTATAGTACATTCCTATGTGATGGCAATCATAATCCAGTATTTACAAAACAGGAGTCAGTATAGACATAGTTGATGAAAAAGATCCCAGGGGAGCTATGATCAAGATGTTAAATGTGATCAAATGCCTGGTGGAAGAGCTCTCTCTTGCAGGCCCTGCAGAATTGAAGTAAGTTCCGCAGGGCCTTGGTGTCCTCAGGGAGCTCCTTCCACCAGCGTGGAGCTGCCACAGAAAAGGCCCTAGCCCTGGTGATGGCCAGTCTGGCCTCTTTAGGGCCATGGAGCACTGAACATTGCGCTCTCTGGAGAGTGCAGATTAGGAAACACTGAAGTTGCAGTGTAAAAACTAACTGAAAATGTTCATTCTGTGTTGTCGTAATGGGGGGGAGAAACTACAATTCTGAAAGGTGTTTAGGGTCATTTCTTAAGTCTACATATGTGGACATAATGTTTGTATTTCTAATCGCTGCACATTAAAAACGTGTAACAGAGAACATACAGGAAAGGCTATTTTAAAAAGATCGGGGTGTGCCAGTTTGGGGTAGTGGTGGACTCTAATCTGGGAGAACTGAGTTTGATTCCCCACTCTTCCACTCACAGCTGCTGGATGACCTTGGGCAAGGCATAGTTCTGTCAGAGGTGTTCTTGAAAAAGTGCAGTTTCTGTCAGAGCTCTCTCAGCCCCACCTACCTCACAGGAAAGAATTTCAGACAGACGATATAATCCGGAAGAGGAACAGTTCCGAAACGGTTTCTGGTCTGTCATTTCAGACAGAACCGTTTTAGAACCAGTTCCCTACCGGAATATATTTGTAATTTCACACACACACGCTTCTGTCCCGTTTAGGAAACGGGGCTGGAGCGTTTTACCTGTCAACCACTTCCAAGTAGTCTTCAGTTTCCTCTCCCGGTTCCAATGCACTTTTTCCCGCCATTTTTCGCCCGTGCAGGCGATCTCCGGATTTTTTTTTAAAAAAAACGTTCGCTTTAAAATAAAAATAAAATATTTTAAAAAAAAAAAATATAATGCTATTCCGTTATAGTGCTATAAAGCTATAAAGCAAACGTTCCAAAAAAAAAAAAAAAAGCTGGAGATTGCCCGCACGGGTGAAAAACGGCGGGAAAAAGTGGTGCAGTCTGAAATGGCAATCCACTTCAGATCCAGCTCTTTACCAGAAGGGGAAAGCCATGTCTGAAATGGCAGCCCTATACCGGTTTACTCCACGACGGATCAAAAACGGCTTCAAACCGGCTTCAAAAGGGTAATGTGAAATTCACAAGGGTGTCTGTTGTGGGGAGGGAAAGGGAAAGGAGTTTGTAAGTCGCTCTGAGACTGAGTGAAGGGTGGGGTTTAAATCCAATCTCCTCCTCCTCTTTACATTTGTGAAGAAAGCATAAAAGGGGGTGGTTTTGCAAAGAAAACAGAATCAAAAGGACATATAATGTTTTAAATAAAATAGTACTATTAATTCACAGGAACATTCATAGGGGTAAAAAAGCTCCTTCCAAAATACGCAACCACTAGAACTGATAGGTAGTGAGTTGAGCTGTTCATTCATACAGTTTAGTTTACAGGGTGTTGTGATGTGTTAATTGGTTTTTAAAGGGACTAGGAACTAATAAGTGTATGAAAGAAACAACATTTAATGGCTAGTAGTCTTACTAGCGCTGACCTTGATGGCCCTGGCTACCCCGATCTTGGAAGCTAAGCAGGGTCAGCCCTGGTTAGTACTTAAATGGGAGACCACAAACTAAGTCCATGGTTGCTATGCAGAGGCAGGCAATAGCAAACCACATCCCAATGTCTCTTGTCTTGGAAACCCTACAGGGTCACCATAATACATCTGCGACTGGACTGCAGTGCACTTTCCTCCACCACCAGTCTTAATACTCAAAACTACAATATCCATGTTTGGAGGCAGCCTAGCAGAGGGATGTTTGGAATTCACAACAGGAAGCTGTAAAATCTCTAAGATGGCTCATCTCTAAGAGATGAAGGAGTAGCTATAACTCTTATAGAGGGAAGTGGATTAGGACTGGCTACTGAGAGGATGCCAAACAATATTGCCTGCCTGGTAAAGTCTAGAGGCCACAGGAGGAAGGTTGCAGGCCGAATGCATCTGAGGGATTATAGATTTTTATATGTAAATGCTATAAGTGTCCGAGGTAAAATGGTGGTGACAGAGGAGAACATAGACATTGTGGGCATTTGTGAAACTTGGTGGGATGAGGATAATCTGTGGGATACAGTGATTCCTGGATATAAAATCTGTCGGAATAATAGGGAGGGAAGGGTAAGAGGTGGAGTGACTCTATATCAGAGAGGATTTACAGTAGCTTTTATGGGGGTTAGTTTCTTTTGGTTTACTTTGTAAGCTGCCTGGAACAGCTTGTCCGGAGAAGTGGCATAGAAATTTTATAAGTAAATAAAATGGGTGTAACTCTGTTTATGATTGCATTGTTATTGAGCTAAAAGATATATGGTAGCAGAAAAGTTGCTTTTAATTGTGTGTGCAATAATTGCAGGTTAGGGAACACTTTGAGTAATTGTGCATGTGAGTGTCTTAGTTTCCACTTCTCCCATGAACAATGCCAGGGGAACAATGAGATACCAGCTAGCTCTACCCTGTCTCCAGTGAAGCCTGCTAAGCATCCAGCAGGTAGCCTACACCAGCAACAAACAGTTTTTAACACCACTGATTCCCAACCTCCTTGGTATGGTGACCCACAAGTCCAGATTTACTTGGTATGGTGACCCATTCCAAGGCTCGCCCAAGGGTTTTTGGTGCTCTATGGCAAACTATGACTTTGCCATTCATCTAGTTCACATTCCATTTTCTAGTGGCTAACCAGATGTTTTTGAGAAATCAACAAACATTACACAAAGGGCACAGCTGCCCCTACTATGAACCCCAAGCAAGTAGCATTCCAACAT